ACAGATATTGGGCAAGCCAGGTCCAACTAACATGCTGCCTCTTCTGGGCACGTGTTGGGCTCAGCGCAGGAGCGCGTGAGGATTAAAGTGCCTTGTTTTGTTTTTTAAACATCTGCAAACAGCCTATTTGGCCAAACAGGACAAAGCAGAACACTAAAAACACAATACATTCTAATCAATTACTCAAATATTTAAAACAGATGGACTGCAGACTCATCTAAAACCCTTTCCCTTTCATCCCTGGTATGACATGATAACAATAATGGGCCCTTAAAAGTCTCCCTGTGCTGAGTTAGGTCTGACTGTGACCTTCTGCAGAGTTGTTTCCATTTGGTCTTTCAAATTAGATTATCCAGATGTTATTTTTCCACGTGTAGATTAGATTTAAGGGTCTTATTTTCAAAGGCTGCTCACACACAACTTCAGTCTACCCCCTTTGCAAAACCAGGTCTTTACAGTTTTGTCACTGGGAAACAATTTAGACAGTATAAGCTCTTTTCTTGGAGCATAGCTAGGATAGTAAGGTAGTCTACAGACACAGACTGTTAGCATCTTCAACTCTGGTCAGAGCCAAGCTCCTTCATATCTATGGAACACCTGGAATCCTAGGAAAGTAAACCTGGAAGGGATATCACAAGGTAGTCTAGCCCTGGTCCCTGCTCAAGGCAGGATCATCCCTGACTAAACCATCCCAGCCAAACATTTATCTAACCTGCTCTTGAAAACTTCCAAGGATGGAGTTTCCAGTTTTTCTAGGTAGCCTGTTCCAATGTCTGACTATGCCCATAGTCCAAGTTCCTCCTAATGTCCAATCTAATTTTCCCCTGCTGTAGGTTGAGTCCATTGCTACTAATCCTGACCCTTACAGCCCCAGAGAAAAGCCTCTCCCCATCCTCCCTGCAAGAACCCTTCAGGTATTTGAAGGCTGTTATCAAATCCCCACCTCTGTCCTCTTCTCTACACTAAATAACCCTAGTTCTTTCAACCTTTCCTCACAAATCTTGCTAATCATTTTTGTCATTCTGCACTACACTCTTTCCAAACTATCCACATCCTCTCTCAAGTGTGCAACCCAAAACTGGACACATTATTCCAGGTGAAGTTTCACAAGTGCTGAACACTTCCCTTGATTTGCAAATGACAGTCCTGTTAAAACAACCCATTATGCTGTTGTCTTCTTAAAACAAGAGCATTCTAGTTGACTCATATTCAGTTTGAGCATTTGCAACTCCACCCAACTTGGAGCCATCTGCAAATGTGCTAAACAAGCACTCACTCAAATCTCATCATCCAATAATTAATGAAGACATTAAACAATACCAGATCCAGGAAAGACGCCCTAGGGAACCACACATAATACCTTCTCCCAACTAGACATTAAGTCATTGATAACTACCGTCACTGAGTACAATAATGACATTAAGTCATTGAGTACAATGATCCACCAACTTATGTATCCAAGTTACAGTAGTTTCATCTGGTCTGTACTTCCTAAGCTTGTTAATAAGACAGTATCACAAGAGACAGGTATCAAAACCCTTGCTAAACTCAAGGTATAATCAATCCACTGCTATCCCCACATCCACAGAGCCTATCAATTTATCATAGAAGAAAATCAGGTTGGTCAGTCATGATTTGCTCTCAGTGAATCCATGCTGGCTGTTCCCAATAACCTTGTTCTCCTTCAGGTGTTTCACAATGGATTCCTTGAAGACCTGCTCTATGATCTTTCCAGGTATTGAGGTCAGGCTGACTGGTCTATAATACCCTACATCTTCCTTCTTCCCTTTCTTAAAGATAGGCACTGTATTTGCCCCTTTCCAATCACCTAAAATTTCACTTGACCTCCACAAGTTCTCAATGAGGATAGCCAAGAACTCTAAAAGGACCTGTCAATTCTTTCAGTACCCTGGGATGCGTCTCATCCATCCCTACCAATCTGAACACACCTAGCTTTTCCAAGTACCTAACTCAGTAGCGCTCAAGCTTTTTGTCCACAGGATCAGAGGGGCGGTTCCTAGTCCCTCCGCAGGCCAGATCCAGCTGATGGACCAAATTCAGTGCCCAGGCATGCGTGGAGAGCCCCATCTAGTCCTGTGGAGGAGAGCAGGAAGCAAAAGGAGGCTTGGCATCAGCCCAACCTGGCCCAGAGAGGAGAGGAGGGGGGCTGCTCCAGCCCCAATCTAGCCCCATAAGGAGAGAAGGAATGGCCTGGTCCTGTAGGAGGAAGAGCATGTGGACTGCCCCAACCTGACAGGGAAGAGGGAAGGGGGCGTATCCCAGCCCCACAGGTTGAGAAGGTGCCCCAACCTGGCCATGTGGAGGGAAGGGGGTGTGGGCTGACCCTGAACTGTACATGCAGGGGAGGATCAACTCCCTATATGGGGCTTCAGATTTTGCCAGCAGGGAAGGGGAGCAGTTTTAACTGCCACTGCTCCCCCACCAAAATTCCTGACCCATGGGCTGAACTCCAAGGCTCCAAGGGCTGCATTTAGCCAGCAGACTGGAGGTTGAGCACCCCTGCCCTAACCTGTTCTACTATTCTAAGCTGTTTGTCTCCTTCCCTATTTTTGTTGCCAACTGTGTCCATCTTCTGGTAGCTTCCCCTGTACCAAAGTAAAAAGAGACAAATACTTCAGCTTTGTCTGCATCACCCATAACTAAACTGCTTTCCACATCCCATAATGGACCTATAGTTCCTCTTAATGTATCAAAAGTAAGTCAAAGTAATAATATACTAAGTAGCTACTGGTAAGCTTAGAAAAGAAAGATGATAAGTTTCTCCTCCTCTTCCCCTTCTCCCAATGAGAAAAAGAATGTTAGAAATTCACCAGCTTGTCCTAGGAAGGGACTAAGGGGACATTATTCAATCGGCTGTGCAATCTCAGTTGTGGCTTCTGGACAACCTTGCATCAGTACCAATCCACGTTCTCACTTAGCCAACTACAAGAACTGGGGGAAATGTTATCCTTAATATATTGCATCACCATGCTGCTGTTCCTCTTGAATGGAGGTACACCCATTACCATAAGGTTTCCTGAATCTGTTCTCCAGCAATAAGTATTTTGTGGAGCTAGTGTAGGTCTTCAACAGAAGTAGAGACACATATGGATCTCTTGGTGCTTATGTGGAGGTAATGCCCAATTTAATGAGCCAAAGCCAGTCACTTCAAATAAAAGTCATGGAAAATGTCTGAAACTTAAATCAAGTCCTCCCTGTTCAGAAGATGGAACAAGAGAATTTCATGAAGCTATGATGGCCTATGAGGAACCTGTATTTGTGCTCATCCTATCTCCTGATGCTTGTCATTTAAAGATGAATATATGCATTAAGCAAAAGCTTGAGTCAGCTTTCAAAGTGGAAACATGATGCACCTCAATCCTTTCTTTAAAGTTCCTGCTGACCATAAGCAAAACACTGTAGCATAGTGCACAACTCCAGAACAGAGCATGCATCACTTTCCTGTTGAAGATCTACATTTATGTTTCTACATTGACAAACTGGGGAGGGGAGCAGGGAAGCGTGTTTTTTTTTGTTTGGTTTGGGGTTTGGTTTGGGAGGGGGGGGTTGCTTCCTCCTAGGTGGTCAAGGCAATGGAAAACTGCACTAAAATATAGGGTCTACTCACCTATCAAAAGTCTCATTTTATTGACCTATTTCTATAGGCTAAAGAGAGACCCATTCTTTAGGGTCACCAATCAGCCACAGAATACTGACTTTCATTTCACATGCTCAATATAGTTGACTTTGCCTTGGAGAGCTAGGATGGAACATGAGGTTATTCTTATAGGTTGCCTCTGAACTCTTAGTTATATTTACATAAAATCTACCTTGAAAACTTTTTTCTAATAACAGAAAGGAGGGAGGGCCGCAAAGAAGGAAGAAAAACACTGCCATATCTTGGGTTTTTTTCCCCACCCCCAGAGAGTTAAGGCATGTTTATATCACAGTGGCCATGGCTGGGCACTCCAGGGTGAAAAAGTCCTGCCCATTTGCTCCTGCTCCTTGTGTGCCGAATATCATAAGCATTTATGTAGCTGCCACTATGGCAGTCCTGAGGCAAACATTTTTTCTAATCACCTAGCATATACAAGATGATGTATTATTTATATATTATTTATATTTATATTTTATATTCATTAATAAAACAAATTGAATTCCCATTCAAATGTAGATCAAAAAGCAAATGTCATAAGAAGAGAAATGCATTTGCTGCATATTGGTATCTAATCAAAGTATTACATAACTAACCATTAACAATTAAATTAATTATTTACTTAAAATAGTAAAATAATAAAAATAGTATAAATTGAACACCAGATTAAAGCTAATTATTTAAAATCTGGGTCTCTTGCTTGCTACTTTAAACGTGACAATTCAGGAATAGCTTAATTTAAATCAACGTACCTTGAGGGGGGAGGTTATATTCACTTAGAGCATTCAAAGTCTATTAGACACGAAACCAGATTGGATGTTGCATTTCCCGCCCCCCAGTCATTTTTGATATATCCAAAGTTTTCCATTGGGGGGGGGGGGG